GTGAGAACTTTATGCGTTCCTCAGATTTGTGAAATTATCAAATCAAAGTTTATCGTAGGTTGCCATAGAGAAAGACATCTCTCTTCCTGTAATGGCTACTAAACTGTAACTGTGTTCCTGGGGTACACTGAGAGAATCTGATATAGTGGTTGAGATGCTGGCCTAGAAACCAGAACACTGTAAGTTCTAGTTCTGCTTTAGGAATGAAAGCCAGCTGGGTGACTTTGGGCCAGTCATTCTCTCCTAGCCCAACCTTCCTCACAGGGTTGTTGTGGGAAAAATAGGAGAAGGAAGGCATATTAGGTATGCTCGCCACCTTGAGTTATTTATAAAATAATAAAGGTGGAATAAAAAAATATAATAAATAAATGCACTGAATCATAAACCAGCAAATCACATTTAGCCTAGAATAGTGTTTAAACTCAGCCTGTGCAGTTAATTTTTGGTTCTGCATAACATGCTGTACAAAGCCAGAATATTCAACTGAATCATGAATAAGCACATTATGAAAATGAGAGAAGCTAGAGTTCTGAAAGAAAAAAGTATACAAAGCAATCAGAAAAAGATTTCTATCATTAAACTGGGATACAATTTGTCTCCAGTTCATATCTACATATTTAGTGAGTCTGTATACACCAGTGTGTTTGAAGAGCTCCAGCATGAAGTGCTGTACTTTTGGTAGTAGTACAGATAGTATTACATTTATAAGCATCAGAGAAAAAGTACTAAAAGGCATCCAGATTGAAAAATGAAGTGTGGGAGGGGACAACTGAAGCTTGTGGTATTTTAAAGACTCATACTTATTGTTTCAAAAGTGGAACAGAAGATTCTATCAGTTATATAACAAAACAGAAAATATAATATTTGCTCATATTTTGTGCCATCCAAGCCTATTACAACATGAACAGAATAATTGTTCTGGAAAGTAGACTGAAGAGATGCCCTTCCTTGCTCTGGTATTTGAATGTGGTAATAACAAGCGTTTCAAATTAATTAAAAGAAAACATACGAAAGAGGAACATAATCAAATAGAGACTGGACAGGCCTCTTTTTTTTAGACTAGTGTTTCCTTCATGCAAACTGTTGATGTGGTACCACTTTGTTTATCAAAGGGAATTTCTAATTATTAATGAAAGCTTGCATTTCTTTTTAATTCATTGTGATGGTTGTAGGAGTGGTGTACAAAAAGATCACAGGATGAAAACAATTTGTGAATATTTTAAATATATAGTAAACAATTGAAGAAAAAGACAATGAAAAGAGAAACATTTTAAAGTAGATATTCAGCAACCACTCAGGTTTTAAATAATGTAGAATAATATTGCTCTGTCTTTTCATTATAGGGATTAAAAGCCAATTCAGTAAAATAATGGGAAGATCAGTGGAGACTCACTGGGAAAATACAGATGGCAGGCAGGGCAATGGAATATGCCTTATTATAACAGGGATGGCAGTGGCCAATAAGACTCAGCGGGAATGTATTTTCCTTAGCCCAGTGTTCTTCATCTTTAGCTATTTGAAGATGTGTGGACTTCAATTCCCAGAATTCCTTAGCCATGACTGAATGGAAAATTCTGGGAGTTGAAGTCCACACATTTTCCAATGATGCTAGTCTCTGCATGCAGAGCAGCTGGGCCCTTTGACTGGATTTTTGGGGAGGATTTAAGTCTTCCAAATCTCTTCCAATCTGGTTCCTCTTGTCCATCCTGTAATAACAGAGATGGTAGACAAGATGGCAGCTACAGAGCTGACTCAAGCCAGTTTGAAAGGACTCAAGTTATGACTGGTTGCTTACTGACAGTTCAGAAGACAGTAACAAAGGACCCTGAAAAACGATACTTAAGATCCAGATTCAAAGTTCCGATGGCTGCCCCCTCCCAGTCATGTGACTGCATTTTGGACACTCGGCATCCAGCCTGCATTTAAGGCCTTTTGCAGGGTCCTGTGGTCATGTGATCACAATTGATGACATTTTTGTCAGAAACTGGCATTTACTCCTTCCCCCCCCCCGAGATGTCCCTGAAAACAGGCTGCAATCATTCCAAAAAAAAGTAGAGGTATCCTCCAGAGAGCCATATGTCTCCAATCCTGGTAATGTTCTGAAAGGTATAAGAAATCTGGCCATTTTTCCAGGCTTTGGGACAGGGCACATAGTGAATTCTGTAACATTTTGTTCAGTTTTATGGTTTTTCTTTTTCTTGTTCCTGTTTTTATCGAACATAAAGTGTCCGTCATCTTTGGGAATAAGATATTCTTTCAATCTATGTAAAAGAAATAACTAAATGCTCCTTTGGTTCAATCTGTTAGTGCAGGGGTAGGCAACCTTGGCTCTTTTATGACTCGTAGACTTCAACTCCCAGAATTCCTGAGCCAGCTCAGAAATTCTGGGAGTTGAAGTCCACGAGTCATAAAAGAGCCAAGGTTGCCTACCCCTGTGTTAGTGAAACAGTTCGCCCACACTTCACTCTGGAAAAGACCACCAGTCCTACAGTTCGTGTTTCTATGGAATGAGGAAACTATGGAATGAGGAAACTATGGAATGAGGAAACTATGAAATAAGTCATCTCCACCTGAGTTTTAAAATGATTTTATTTAAAAAAAATCAAATGAAAGAGCAGATGGCATGTCCTAAAAACAAACTCTAGCAAATAGAACTTCTTTGCAATTATGCTTTTGGCCCCCAGAAATACTCCAGAGGCATCCTCGGAAAATAAGAAGGGGGAACTTTGTTTGAAAAGAGTTCCCAGAAGAAAAAGTCCAGGATTAAGAGGAGAAGGCTGTAGAACACCCTGGAAAACTGCAAAGACAACAGCAGGCTTACCCATTTATTTTCTCATATATGAGTGTTTTGTGACTATCCACACCCATCTCTCTTGTCATTTTATGAGAGTATCTATGACATGAATAAGTTTGACAACTTATGTATTTAGTATTAATTGTTCTTATTCGCAGCATGTTTCTTTTCACTAGAGCAGGGGTAGGCAACCTTGGCTCTTTTATGACTGGTGGACTTCAACTCCCAGAATTCCTGAGCCAGCCATGCTGAGGGGAAAGGGAGAGGTTTCCAAGCTGACCCATGCTGGCTCAGGAATTCTGGGAGTTGAAGTCCACAAGTCATAAAAGAACCAAGGTTGCCTACCCCTGCACTAGAGTATTGAATCAATCGTCTGCATCTACAGTAATTCAGCTCTAGATGGCAGTGTTATGAATGTGTTTCATAGGGTCATTCATCTGCAAAGGGCAATAGAAGAAAGTACTGTACAGGTAGTCCTCAACGTACGACCACAATTGAGGACAAAATTTCTGTTGCTAAGTGAGACCGTTGTTAAGTGAGTTCTGCCCAATTTTACGACTTTTCTTGCCACAGTTGTTAAGTGAATCACTGCAGTTGTTAAGTTAGTAACATGGGTGTTAGGTGAATCTGGCTTCCCCATTGACTTTGCTGGTGAGAATATCACAAAAGGGGATCACATGGCCCCAGGACACACTGCAACCGTCATCAATATGAGCCGGTTGCCAAGCATCTGAGTTTTTATCACTTGACCACGGAGATGCTGCAATGGTTGCAAGTGTGAAAAACAGTCAAAAGTCACTTTTTTCAGTGCCGTTATAACTTCAAACAGTCACTAAATGAATGTTGGTAAGTCAAAGGCTACCTATAGAACATTTTCTGTCAAAGAAACAGAGGATCAATATACCTGTGTCAGTTCTTCCCCTTCACCCAAAAGTCTGCTTAAATGAGCAAAAAAAGCTAATTTGAAATACGAAGCCAGAGACCAGGGAGTTCTGTTGTGTCTCTGGTACTTGCTTTCCTTTCTCCTTCTTGAAGGAAACTTTTGTTTGTTTTATTCAATTTCTATAGCCGCCCAGCTCAACGAAATGACTCTGGGCAGCTTACAATTCTAAAATTCTAAAACGATTAAAACAAATGAAAAGACATTAAAATAATAAAAACATCCGCAGAATAAATAAATAAAAAGAACTTCCCCGACCCAAACCAAGTGTCCAGTCTGTCCTCCAATCCAAGGCAAAACGGTCAGTACAGGGGCCCAGTTTCTGGGCAGGGAAGGAGCAGATTTTCCAGGACAGCTGGAGCCGAGCAAATCGATCTCGTTGACTAATCGTCTCTAAACTCTTTTCCCGATACATCCTAAATTCTCCTCATGGAAAGTTTTGTGTCAGGAGAAGGAGGAAAATATCATTTCTAAACTGGAATGAATAAAGATTATTCTAGGCCACCTCAGCAGTGGCCGGTGACAGTATGGCAAGCAGGATGTGAGGGTGAGACCCTGATAAAAGTTGCTCTTGCCACCTGTCAAAAGTCCTTTTCATTTCTAAATAAAGGCTGTGTGAAGCATATGATGGAACCTTCTGGAAACCAACAAAAACATCCTTCCAAACTTGATGAGGTAGCCTTGTCTGCCCAAAGTTCGGTGTCACCATTCTCAGATGTTTTCCTAACCTTCTGAGATAACAAGTGCATAGCCTGAAGACACTTCCATCAAAACCAAGCCATGCCCAAATTTCACTATGGCTCCCTTGATGCTCTGAGCAGCTAATTCAGAGGGCACAATGTCCATTTCATGAAGTGCTCTGCATCTCTTTATCGTTATTGCATTTTGCTGGCCAAGCAGTTGCCTCAAGGCAGCTCCAAAGCAAGGTATGAAGGTGAGAGGCCCACACCTTTGGAGATCCTCTGTTCTGGATCTACTGATGGCGTCCCTTCATATTATTGGCTGGTTACCATTCAGTAATACGATGACAACCTCCTTACCTTCACCAGCCACTTAAATAGGTACCTATCACTTGAAGCGCTTTGCAAAACCAGTTCCCATCCATGGTTCAGCCTCATTATACTTTTCCAAATTACAGGAACAAACTGGCCGCTCTGACTTGTTGGAAAAACTAATACAGGTATTTTATGTCAATGCACTTACTTCTGAAAGCCTTATTCCTCCTCATTCCTCAAGAATGGTGACAGAATGCATTTTCTCTCCAACTGGGAAGGCAGCAATTACAGGCTCTACTAGCTGGGGTACTTTTGCTGGCATTCATGCACTGCCTGTTCCAGGCTCTTGCGGATACACTCTGCATATTTCCTGAGGCTGTTCTTCTGTTTGTGTCCTACCTTGGGGCCAGCCAGGGCCAGCAGGAAGCTAAAGAGCTGAGAGGGCAGAGGATAGGCAGGCACTGAACAGAAGAGGTCAGGGATCTCGTCGATTGGAAGGAGCTTCTCGAAGCAGCCAACCAGGTATGTGGCCCTGGCCTCACCAGCCAGGAAATCAGGCAGGACACAGTTGAGGGAAGCCGAGAATACGCCGTTTGCTTTGAAGGTGAGCCAAGGGTCTTCCTGTACCCAGCCCAGCCATTCTGCACAACTGGCCATGGCACCATGGGAAAAGAGCAGCACAATAACTCCACCTTCTTGAAGCACCAGGCGCCGCTGTGCGTGGAACCACTGCATGGGCCCCAGGGACCCCAACTCCCCACGGCTCCACAACTCCAGAGATACAGATAGCTGCAGCTGAGTCAGTGCATCTGCCAGGGTGCCCACCACACGCTCATAGCCTTCATGATCTGGAGAGTAGAGGAGGAGGATACGTCGCCCCTGAAGCGTTCCTGCAGTGAGAAAGAGAGGGATCCGAGATGTTCCATGAACAAAGATAAATCTTCCTATTCTAGATCTCTCTTATTTCCTTCTAATCCAGCTCCTTCAAGCAGCTCTCTCTCATATCTGGATGCTTCGTCATCACTGCAAGTTCTGCATGTTGAAGATCAATCCCCCCCCTCACTTTCCAAACTCTCCTTTTTCTCTTTGCACTTTCTCTTAATCTACTGCTGATTTCCCAAAGGGCAACCATGAAATTCGCATTCAAAACCATCAAGAGTTTGGCGTGGATCTTAATGACATATATATATATATATTCCTTCGTAAAAACTTGTGATTGATTCAATTGTTAGGGGTCTTTCAGACAATTCGCCTCTCAAACCTTCTGAATCCACAACCCAGAGAAAATGACTGGCCCGTTTTGTGTATTTTGAGATCTATATGCTTGAGAGTCCTGCCCATTTGAGAAGAGCCAATTAGTCTACACTGGCTCTTTCTACTCACAAGCTGAGCACAAAAGACTCTTTCGTCTCGCCAATTAGTGCTTGCTTTTGATGGCTGATGACTGAATGCTGTATCCATCTCGCTCACAGCTGTGCTAAACACCTATGCCAGTGGTGGCGAACCTATGGCACGCGTGCCAGAGGCGGCATTCAGAGCCCTCTCTGTGGCATGCACGCCATTGCCACAGCCCTGCCTCCCCCCGCGGCCCCCTCCTCACCAGTAGCCCCCCGGGAGGAGAGTCACCCCCGAGCGCAGCCTGCGCAAAGCAGCACAGCCAAGGACATGGCAGCCGGGCAGCGGGGACAAGACTCCGCCCTCACACCCCATCGCATACGGTTGATGCTGCGTGGTGCGGGTGGAGGGCGTGGCCGCTATGGCACTGCTGGGCTGCCATGGTGAACTGCGGCGGGCTGTGGAGGCAGTGAGTGGCCCTGTGGGTGGGTGGGATCGGGGCGGGGTGGGGGTGGGGTGGGGGCGGGGCAGAGCAGGTGGGATGGGGCGGAGCAGGGTCGGGATGGGGCGGAGGCGGTTTTCGGACACTCGGTCTTTAAAAGGTTCGCCATCACTGACCTATGCCTTCTGCCTCCTCTCAAAAAAAATAAAATACAATAAAAGAGAGTATAGCTAGTCCTCGCTTACCAGTAATATATAGGACCAGAAATCCCACTGCTAAGCCAAACAATTGTACATAGAAAAATCATGTGATCTCGTTGACTTACAAATGTCGTTAAGTGAATCACAGTAAATCATTAAGCAAGGACCTCACGTGACCGTGATTTCCAACTTTATGCCAGCTTCGCCGCTGACCTTGCTTGTTGGAAGCCAGCAGGGAGCATCAGAAATTGCAATCAATTGATGCTATAAGAGCCACATCTTTGGGGACCAGTCATAAGTCCCCATCATTCAGTGCTGTCATAATTTCAAGTAGTCACTGAATGAATGGTTGTAGAAGGAGGATTGTCTCGGCATTTGATAGGATTCTCTTTGTTACCGTATCAACAGAAGAGAATATTTGTAGCTCAGGGTTGAATTGCAGGGTCCTTGGTGCTGTCTGACCTTGATTGTTTTCTTGTAGATGTTTCATTACAGATTAGGTAACATCATTAGTACACTGAATGAAACGTATGCAAGAAAACAACCCAGCTCATAGAGCACCAAGGACTCACTTTTACTGTGCTCAGCATATTAGCAAACATCCATTGTCAACCAGATTCCAATGCTAGTTACTGGAGGAATGCATGTGGATCGGGATTTTTTTTTCCTAACCCTGCCTGCAAACTGCTACAAGAAGCAAAAGGTGAAGTGAGACCAGAATGACACCCATTAAGGACACAGACTGTCTTTCAAGCACACAACACTGATCCCAAAGAGGCATTTACTCTTTGGAAGTGGCATTTTCCCATTCACAGATATGAAGGTACTGGCCTAGAGAATTGCTTGTAACAATGTGTATTCAGCAGAGATTTCCCCTCACCAGTGGTAGAATTCAAATATGTGAACAACCAGTTCTCTGTGTGGATGCCACTTCTGAAAGTTCATTCTGGGCTTGGGCAACAAAAAATTAGCTACCAGTTCTGCCAAAGTGGCACGAACCAGCTGAATCCTACCACTACCCCTCACCCATTTCTGGGATTTCTGTCACCCTATTTCTGGGAGAAGCCATAGTGGCGCAGTGGCAGTATCGCAGGTAAACTCTGCCCACAGCCTGGAGTTCAATTCTGACCCGTTCAAGGTTGATTCAGCTTTCCATCCTTCCAAGGTTGGTAAAACGGGGACCCAGTTTGTTGGGGGCAATATGCCGACTTTGTAAACCACACAGAGAGTGCTGTAGTGCACTATGGAGCAGTATATAAGTCTTCAGCATTATTGCTATTGCTATTCTGATGTCTTGGAACTTTAGTTTGGAAAGACTTCTATCCATAGATAAGGAACAATAAGGGAAACTTCTCTGAAATAATTCGACATATCCTTCTTGGGTTTTGGATCTCAACATCAATCTTGCCAAACTACAGCAAACTGCTTGCATCACTAAAGATATACTCCAACAACTCCTATGAAGGAGCTGTCTTGACCTTCTTCCTCTCAAACAAACTATCTAAACTTCACTGTCTCTTGCTCCTCTGAAATGCGGCCCCTCCTTGCTGGGAGTCCAGACTGCATTCCATCACAGTAAACCCCATTCAGGACAGAAACGAAAGGCTGAGGATCAGAAAAAGATACAGAATAATCTGGAGGTTCAAGGGAGTGATGATAGGAGATTTCTATTGCCTGGTTTATATTCTAAATGCTATAAGAGCCTCGGTTGCCTTTACCTCTGGAACTGTAATCTTCTTTCAGGATTTTGAACCAGCCTGTAAATAGAGAAAAACATTAATGGGGGTGCTGGAAGCCTACTCATTGCCCGATCTGGGATGTGCTGTGGGTGAATTCTAAGTTGGAAGAATGAAGCGCAACTTCTGTAGCAAATGGACAAACCCCCGCACAGCGAGGCTTGGCAAGGCAGATCCTTTCCTTCTTCTGATTCAATCAGACAGCAAATATTCATATCCCAAATCTCTGAGTTAAACAGCTAGGCAAAGCCATCATGACTTCAAATGCAAATACACAGATGGGAGATGATCCGCAGCTCCTCCATCGTATTGAACTTAAACTTAAACTTGAATGTGTTGAGTGAGGATGAAAGAATAATTAAATAGCAATGGAGTCTGTGAACTCCATTCAGAGCAGAAATTAAAGTCTAAAGAGAACAAAGACTTTGGTCTGGTGAGATTAGGTCTTGTGGGGAATCTGGCCTCTGGAAGAAGGAAAAGGTCCACCAGAACAAAGACGATTCTCTTGTTCTTCCTCTTCTGCCTTAAGATTCTTTGGGGGGGAAAGGTAGATGGGTGATATGAAAGGAAGCAGATCACCTGGGGGAAAACCAAGGAGAAAGAACATGTGGGAGAAAGATGTGGCTGGAATAAACGAGTGAGATGGAGACTATTAGCATATCTAATCAAAATATCAGAATCCATAAAGCACATTTTCGATTCCTTCAAGTCATTGTTGACTCCTGGCAGACGCCTGGACAAGTCCCTATAGTTTTCTCAGCAAGATTTCAGAAGTGGTTTGTCCTTGTGGCCTTCTTCCTAGGGTTGAGAGAGAGGGACTGGCCCAAGATCACCCAGCTGGCCCCTGAGAAAGTCACACTGAGCTTGATATTAATGGCAAGACTGCCATATTGCCAGTTTTCCATGATCTTTGAACCAAAGCAAATCTTTGAACTTGGCTTGATTGCCAAATAGGAGTCAGTGCAATTGCTTGAGCAGTGCAAAACAGAAAAACATTCACAGAAATAGTACAATGAAAAGCCCTAAGGTAAGGAAGGCAAATGCGTTAGAGATGTGGCAGGATTGCTAGCGGACAGGAGGCCAAGGTTAGGATGAAGGGAGTCAAGAAAAGAGCAAGGCAATACGTATTGAGTATGGCAGCATTGGACTAGATTTGTTGTTTGAAAAACAAGGATACCTTTTACCAATTCTTTCTTGAACAGGACAATGAGCAGAACAGAGCAGCTACCTAGGAGAGTAACCAACCAGATCAGCACCCAGTAGGTCCGGTGATCTGCATCAAAGTACAGAGGGAAGAAATTCAGTACTATAGACGAAATTGGTCCTAGACCAACCTGCATGGCCCATCCCCTTCCCTTCTTGTCATTTTCCCATTGGCCAGCAATCCCCAAGCTTTTTGGCACCAGGGACCGGTTTCATAGAAGACCATTTTTCCACAGACCAGGGGTGGAGGTGATGGTTTCCATTTTGCTCACTCGCCCACTGCTCATCCCCAGCTGTGCAGCCCAGTTCCTAACCGGCCACAGACCCTGCCATTGGCTAAGGCTGAAGGCCAAGTCTTGGGTAGATAGCCCTGGCTTCACTTTAAGGTAGACTTCTTTGGGTGCCCTGGACCTGGAGAGTTGCCATCTTTAACTCTTGACAGGGTCTCGTTTCCCCAAACACAGTTAATACACAATTTGGGGAGTCTTCCTAGATTTGCAGCTCGTGTTGGAGGAGAAGGGGGCAGCTGTGGCTTTTGCATAAATTTATTTTGTGTGTCATACGGGCCCATTCCTGGATCAGGAGGCCCAGCTCATAGTCACTGATGTCTTAGTCACTTCCTGACTGGACTACTGCAATGCACTCTATTCTAGGGACTGTTCTTAAAGATCACCCAGAAGTTTTAACTGGTCCACGATGCAGTTTTGGATACTTTGTACATGCAGTTTTAGATGCCCATGTTACACCACTATTGGCTCCCAGTTTCCTTCTAGATGCACTTCAAGGTGCTGGTTTTCACTTTTAAAGCCCTGCATGGCATGGGACTAGGTTATTTGAGATACCACCTCTCTCCAAAGGTATCTGATTGTCCCACCAAATCAGATAGGGTAATTGAATTCCAGGTCTTCTCCATTAAACAATTTTATTTGACAGGACCTAGGATATTGGCCTTCTCCCTATATGGTATGGAATGCTATGGTACCTTGGTTATATGCAATGGCTTTTGTATTTTAGTCTTCTATGCTGCTGTTGTTAGTCACCCTGAGCTATACTGTATAAGATGAGCAGCCATATAAATCTTTGAAATAAATAAATAAATAAAAGGCAGGTTTCTTTAACCCGGTGAATTTCAGATCTGGATATGTTGGCCAGGGATGTAGAAAGCTATAGTCCCACTCAATCTCAATGAAACCAGGTTGGAAAAGATTGCTTGAAAGCATGATTAGAGAAAAAATCATTTTATAGCATGCCTATGAATTAAATTGCACCCCTACTAGAGTCTATATAAGTTGAGTGGGTTTCACACATTGTTTCCCTTCCCTGGGCTGTTCCACAGAAGCAATCCTATCATTTTCTATGTAACTGCTACCCTAGCTTTTTGATGTGGTGGGTTTCTAAGTAGTATTCCTAGTCTTCAAACACAAGACACTCACAGTGCTCCACTGAACATGCCCAGAGTATAGTAGCATTGGTCCCGTCTTCTTGCCACACCTGTGGAAAGCAATAAAGAACTGTCTAGTAATAATATTCACCTGTCAAGTACCA